AGCTACAGGGGGGGATTTAGCTCAACGGTGCTGCCTCCTGCCTCGCAAGCACAAGGTCCCAAGTTTGATACCCGGTATCAAAAAACAAAAACAAAACAGCTACAGTGCTATTTATTAAACTTGTGGTTTTTAAACCAAAGCTTCAGATATATTTTAAACATAGGTCATTATATAACTAGCTCATTTTCCCCTCAAAGGCATGCAGATAATAAGTAGCTGGGCATGGTTGCACATGCCTGCAATGGCAGCACTCTGGGAGGCTGAGGAAAGAAGACTGCCACGTTGAGCCCAGCCTGGGCAACTTAGCAACTTCGTGTGTCTCAGAATAAAGAAATCAAAGGGCTGGGGATGTAGCTATCTGCAAAGGTCCCAGGTTCAATCCTCCATACGGCAAGGAGGAAAAAATAAATAGGTAACATGCAATTGTGAAATGGTAAGTTCATAACTAATCTGCTCAACAGAATACAAACTGATGAGGATTCAGTAAGAGAAATCATGAGTAATTTTAACATGAGTTTTTTCTGTACTTGGCTATTCTTGGCCAAGTATTGCTTCCAACCATTCCTACAAATATATAAATTATACCAGTAACTAAATAAAAAATCATTGCCTATCACCCTCCCAGACTCAGCCCAATGCCAAAACTCCCCTGCTCCCACAGTGCTTGACCCATACCCAACAGAAGCACAAATTACTGTTGGTTTCTTCCCACATCTGGCAGACTCATAGGCCCTTGAACAATGACAAGGGCCACGTTCGTCATGTCCCTATCTCAGTATAGCTCATTTAGAGTGATTCCAAATGTCTACATGATATTTCAAAATAAATCAGTAAGAGAATTTTCATCTAAAACCAAATCAAAATATACAGATGTGAGATATCTTAGCAATAGAAACAAAATTTGTTAAGATGCAAATAAGTCAACTTTTTAAAAAGCTTTCAACTCCAATTGATACTTTCCTTTGCTAACCCTGAGAGCACGATGTCACTCACAGAAACAGCACAGCCTTGGCATGGCACACTATGGCTTCATACTCTAGGTACCTATGAGCTGTGTGGCTCTCTATCACAGACTTCTTGCACCTCAGTTTCTAAACAACAGAAGTGTTGGGCCAGGGATTTAGCTCAGTGGCGCCCTGCCTGCCTCACAAGCACAACGTCCCGGAGTTCAAGCCCTCCCTGGTGGGAGAGCGGGGACACAACAACGGGACAGGACAGGGAACACAAGGACACGACAGACAATAGAATTGTTACGGTAAAAGCAGCCCCCACTCATGAGTGTTATTCATGTGAGTTAATTCATTTAGTCCAACATAACAGGAAGTGACAGTCCCAATCCTTGCACTCAACCCTGTCTCGGTCCACAGTGGAGCCCTCCATCCTCTGCCTCAGTGATAGAGATACAGAAAAGGGCAGACGGGGCCTACTCAGGCTGAGATGGTACTATCACTCACATGACCACTGCAATTAGCAGAGAACAAACCCAATTTGTCAGACAGGTAGCAGTTGCAGCTCAGAAAGCAGTGAGTCAGAGATCTGTGCTCATTCCTACTGTATGCTGGATGTTACTGCCAGCCCTAATAGGTTTAACTGTGAAGAGTGTATGCTGTCCATGTGTGGGGGCACCAGTCTCCTGACGGTTCCTTCATCCCTGGTAGCCTTCATTCATGGTGTTACTTATATTCATTCTGTATTGAAGCTTGAGTTAGTCACGTCCTTCCTTTCTTAAAATAGTTTAGCCATAAATGCATGTATTACTAAAAAAGTAGTTTTGAGCTTTATAAAACTTGCAGCTCTTTAAATATTTTGGATACTAATCCTTTCTTTTCATCTTTTTAATAGTAGCTTTGTTGAACAAAACTTACTCTGTAATCAACTCTGTAATTCTTCTATGGTATTTTTGTCTTAAGATATCTTATGCAACCCCAAGGTCACAAAATTATTATTATTATTTTTTTTTTTTTTTGGTTTTTTTGAGACAGGGTCTCACTATGTAGTTGAGACTGCCCTAGAACTCACTATGTAGCCCAGGCTGGTCTCGAAATCACAGCAACCCTCCTGCCTCAGCCTCCTGAGTGCTGGGATTATAGGCATGTGCCACCATGCTCAGCATTCATTTTTTTGAGGCAGGGTCTCCCTTTGTAATTCAGGCAGGCCTTGAACTCACAGCGATCCTCCTTGCCTCAGGCTCCCCAGTGCTAGGATTACAGGTGTGTACTACCATGACTGGCTCACAATTATTCTTCTTAAACCTCTAAATACCTAACATCTGAATACCCTCTGTATAGTGAAGGCCTCACTCCATCAGGATTTTATTGTGGAGCACTCTGTAGAAACAAAATCAATTATCTTGACGTGGTAACAAAGACATCCACTGAGCACAGGTGACAACCCCTGCCTCTGACTCATCAGTCCTGCATGGCTTGGTCTGAGATCTCCACTGCACTGTGCTGTGCTATGCTGCACTGTGCTGTTCAACTCTCCAGTGCCACTGGAATTCTGTACTCACTGCTAGTTTCAGACAGTGGGTTCTGATTACCACTGTCCTAAGTAGACTTAGCTTTTCTTGAGTCTTCATAAATTTCAGAATCATTATCTGTAAACTCCACGAAAATAACACTGAGTTTTTTTGTGAGATGCTACAGCTGGAACCCAGGGCCTAAAACATGCTAGGGAAATGCTCTACCACGGAGCTGCACCCTCAGTCCCACACTGAGATTTATAAAGCAGTATGATGAAAGAGGTATATAAAATTATTTTTCTAGTAATAACAATAGCATATGTAGATTTTAATGACAAAACATTTATAATTTTCTGCATGTAGCTGGATGTGGTGGTGCATGCCTGTAATCCCAGCACTCAGGAGGCTGAGGCAGGAGGGTGGCTGTGAGTTCAAGACCAGCCTGGGCTATATAGTGAGTTCCAGGTGAGTCTCAACTACGTAGTGAGACCCTGTCTCAAAAAACAAAAACAAAAAAAAAAATTTCTGCATGTATTCTTATATGTTGCTATTAAAAATTAGCTTTTCTGCCAGGTTTGGTGGTACATGCCTATAATCCCAGAATTTAAGAAAGTTGCTGAGAGGGCTGGAGATTTAGCTCAGTGGTGCCTCTGCCTGCCTTGCAAGTGCAAGGTCCCTAGTTTAATCCCTGGTACAAATAAAAAGGAAAACAAAAGAAAAGATGCTGAGGCAGAAGGATCACCAAGAGTTTGAGGCCAGGATAGGGTATGTAATGCATTCAAGGCCAGCCTGGACTCTACTGAGCCAGGCCTGATGGCACATGCCTGTTATCCCAGCACTCAGGAGGCTGAGGCAGGAGGATCACTGTGAGTTCAAGACCAGCCTGGGCTACACAGTGAGTTCCAAGTCAGTCTCAACTATATAGTGAGACCCTGTCTCAAAAAACAAACAAACAAAAAAAGATGTATACTGGCCACGCATGCTTGTAATATCAGCCCTTGGAAGGTTGAGGCAAGAGGACTGCCAGTTGGAGGCCAGCCTAGGATGCACAGTGCGTTCAATACCAGCCAGAACTGCATAGTAGTTGCATTTTTTTGTCTCAAATAAATAAATAAACACTACAGAGGTAATACTACAGATGTAAATACAGAACATCCTACTGACTTTGGCACACTGGTCTTCTATCCAGTCACCTCGGTGCACTCACAATACATACACTTGGAGGGGCACTGAGGGCCTCAGACATACTAGTCAAGTACTCTCCTAACGAGCCACACCCTACCCCACCCGATGTGTAATACTGTACTTCCAATAATTTGTAGGCTCCTTTACTTTTTCTACAGACCGTACCATCTGCCATGAGAGCTGTTTATGGTCCTTCCTTTGCAATGCCTTCTGCTTTTGTGTTACAGTACAATGCTGAAAGACAGTGGTGACAGGTAACATCCTTGTATTGTTCCTGATTTAAGAAAAATGTTTCTTATATTTAGCCATTACAAAACATTTTCTTTTTGACAATGGTTTAGTGATTGTTTTTAAATCAACTGAAAGCATCCTTTTTTCACAGTTGGCTGGCTCTGACTACAAATTAGTGAAGGGGCTGGGGATCTAGCTCAGTGGTGCCACCATCTGCCTCTGAAGTGCAAGGTCCTGGTACCAAAAAGGGGAAAAAAAAAAAAATCAATGCAGCCAGCATGGTGGTACACACCTGCAATCCCAGCACTTGGGAGGCTGAGGTAGGAGGATCACCTTGTCTGAGGCTGGCCTGGAGTACACAGTAAATTCAAAGCCAGTCTGAACTACACAGTGAGACCCTATTTCACAAAAACAAGACAAAAAGAAACAAAAAAAAAAAATCAAGAATGTCATTAAATAATTTTCTCCTTTACAATTCCTAAAACATAGACTCTTTAAACAAGACTACATTCAATCTGTACACCTTCTGTTTAGATTTTTTTTTTTTTTTTTTTTTTTTTTTC